TGTACTATTTATTTTCTATCGTAATACATAACCGCAGAATTATAGATACTTTCTACTAGAATTTCGTTGAATTGAGTTTATTTGTAACATTGATAAATTTTTTAGTATTAGATTCGTATTACATTAATATTAAAATTACATTATTTAAAATTATTTTCTACTGAAATTATACAACATTCCTAATAGAATTATAGTATTAACTAAGAGCGTTTCCTTCCAGAATACATCTGTAGCAATTTTTTTCTGGTTAGAATTAAACTGCGCTTTTACTACAATTTAACTAATCAAAATAATTTCCTACAGAAGTACTTTTCTGATGCATATTAATTAAGTGTATTTCCTATTATTTATTCATTATGACTATTTTACTACTATTACAATTAAGTATTTGCTATTATCATTTACTAGTATTATTAACTAAGTATAATGTGCATGATTAAATGTGTTTTCTACCTCTGCCTGAAAGGCTTGTACACAGAAGAAGTAATTTTATATTACTATACTTTTATAACAAATATCAAGAGGTTACATTGCGCATCTTATTATAAATTAGTAATAAATTATATATTATTATAAATAAATAATAAATTTATTTAATCTTGCCGGTTATCCTGATACCTGAAAAATAGTGCGCGAAACATTTTAGATGAATTTTATAGAATAATTTTCCCAACTACATTCGAAATGAAGTCAAGCAGTTATGAAATGAAGAAGAAATTTAATAATAATAATAACTGCATGAAATCAAAAATAAAAAGCATAACTTCCATCGCCTTAAAACTATTATATATCGTCTAGAAATTCGTTAAGGAACAAATTCACTACGTTCTTGCGTTTTAGGAACATTGTAAACGTATTAGAAGATGTTTCATTTGCTAGTTGTACATGTTATCACTTGCAGCATAAAAGCATTCACAGAATATTTATACATGGAAGAAAATATATTCATTAATACCCTAAAATATAATTTTTTCCATCGTTCTAAAGAGCATTTTCCAGTTAAAATCACCCGCAATAATCTCACGAGGGTGACAAGTGTGAATCATCTACATCTAGCGTATAATATTAAAGTCGTACAGAAATGAATGACACACATGCTGCCACCAAGCCCCGCCGGAATACAATTTATTAAAAAAATACTGATAGTACTTCAGTTAGAAATAATCCCCGCCCAAGTCAATACACTTCTGCTATCTGGCTGGGAGGTCCGGAGGGCTTTGGTAAGCTAGTCTGTGGGGGTGTTGGTGCACCACCTACGGACAATTACATGCAATGCGGCAGAAGATTCAACATGTCGGCGCCTGACTGCGTCCTTCATCTTGCCAAGCAAGGCGTAGTCCGAGGGGGACAGATCGGACGAGTACGGATGGTGTGGCAACACAGTGAAACCCAATACCTCCTGAGTGTTACGTGTGTTCTGTCTGGTGTGGGTACATGCTGCAACAGCACATGTTGTGCCCGTTTGCTCGGATGGCGCTGTCGCAGCTTTCTGGTAAACTCACAGTACCGGTCGCTGTTGATGGCGCACATGGGCTCCAGCCAGACCACGAAAAGAATGCCCTGGACATCCCAGAATACAGTTGCCATTTGTTTCCTCGTGTTCAACGCCTGCCTAGGCTTCTTGGAACGTGGGCTTGATGCATGCTTCCACTCCATGGAGCTGTATTTTCTTTCGGGAGTGTCGTGCAAAAACCAAGACTTGTTTCCCGTGACCAGGCGGCCGAAGAATTCATCCGGGTGGACATCGTGTAGTGCAAGAAGTTCGTTGCAGATGTCGACGTGCTTCTCCTTTTGTTGTGGTGTGAGTGCATGGGACACCAACTTTGCACACACCTTTGTCATCTCCAAACCACCATGCACATTTGCCTGCAATGTTCCTTGCGCAAGCCCTGTCTCTTCCTGCAACTTGTTGAACGTTATGCGCTTGTTCGCCATGATCAAATCCGATATGGTTGCCACATTTGCTGCTTTTATTTTTTATTTATTATTTTTTATTTTTTTAATTTCATTTTAATGTTCCAACAGTTTCATTTACCTACGCAATACTGATGGACGGGAGCTCCAAAGATTATTACACCTTCCGTCTTAGAAAAGACATTTATTCTTACATTTATGCTTTTGGAAGCATCAGTTGTTGAACTTTTCAAGGACAGTGTTTTCTCAATATGATTTGTATACGCTAATAATACCAGAACTCAGTTATCTCAGAAAGTCCTCTCAAGTGGTTGATCGTAAAAAAAAAAGAGGGGCGGGAGAACCTCGGATCACCCCCGGGGTGTTCTCCCTCAAAATTGGGGTGGAAAGTTTAACAGTTAGCTAGGTTCAGCAATACCTCAATTACCTGTGCTACTACGGAGGTGCTGGCCTAGCTTCTACCTGTACCTGTATGTGAATGTTGCTGGTCGTCCCGCGCTGACACATTTGGCTGCGGTCTCCATTCCACTTCTGAACTTGGCCAATCAACGGGATACGGTACGTCTTGATGGTGCTTTGTTTCCGCACACCGACACCATGCGACGATGGATCTCACTACCATGTATCCATTCCTTTCATAGGAACCACGCTGTCCAACGCTGATCGTGATAGTCGCCTTCCACCATTGCTGTCCACGCTCTCAATGACGCCGCGGAAAGGGACGGGCACTGACTTATACCGTTCGGGGTATGCGGCTAGCGCCATCTAGTACAAATGCATATGTTTCGAAAACTGAATCTCAGATTTACGTTTTAATTCGACTGCTATGAATCAAAACACTTCCTGTGAAACTGATGGTTATTTTGTGTAATTTAACCATCGCTTTATTCGAAATTGCCATTAAACATACGCATCCCCCACCTCTTTTGAGAAATAATCTGATTTTTCATGGAAAAGGGGCATTTTTAAACAAAACGGTGCACTGTTACTGGAGTAAAGAATTACTATTGTCAAATTTTTAATCTATTACTATAATCAGTTATATACAGCCACCGTGAAACGCAATAATCATACCAACGTTTAAATATAACGGAAATTTAGTAATTGTACCCGAAAGTGCTATTATCATTGCGTCAAGACTTGATGATTAAATTTAAGCTGTCTTACTGGTGCAACAATGACATGAAATTTAACAAAAATTTTGAAAATGAAAATTCAAACTAGATTTCTTTCAATTCACCGAAAAATCTGTATTTAACAAATTATTTTTAGTTTGATTGTACTTGAAATATGTGGCCTTAATCAAATACACTCGTGTGCTAAATTAAGAGAATTTGCAAATTATGATTGTTTTTACGAAAAGAACTGAACAAAAGATACTGATTATGCCGCAGAACAATTATGGAAATATTAAGAGTCGAATATGTAAGCATACACAGGCGTGTTTGCGAAGCTGCGTTTGTGGAGAGGGTATAAGCGCAGGATGTGTTTTGGGCGATTCGTCTGCTCGTACTCTTTCACGACATTCTCCATGAAGAGTTGGGTAAATTTGATAAGGTATCGAATAAAATGAGTAGCCGTAAACAGATGGATTACGGAATGAGATGGAGCCGCTGGTAAATTGGGAGGCCCGTCCGAATCGCAGGTTACTGAGCTCATTTGTAACGTCTAGCGCCTTATGTAATTTATGGAAACAGTTTCAGGTCCCTTGATCAATATTGAGAAGATCGAACAAGGACGAAATGAGGATCGTAACTTGGCACTTTCAACGCGGCGATGCAGGACTGCTACAGCATCACAGATCACACGGGAGTTGTATGCTGACACTGGGACCAGAGTTTCAGGATCTACATTTGCCCCGAAAGCTCCATGAGATAGGGTGATCAGCTGTTTGCGCCCTGCTCACTGCAGAGCACAAGAGAGCTCGTTTAGCATGGTGCAGACAATATGCCCCTTGGACCAGAGTTCTGTAGAACACCGTTCCTTTAACGGATAAGTCGAGATTTAGCCTGGACAATGATTCTCAGCGTATCTGTATCTGGAGAGAGCCTGGAACATGATACCATTCCTCTCTCAGAGAAACACCTCGAAATTGAAAATTGCTTTGTTGCATCGACTGCAACAAGGACTCCTCAGTCGCCTCCTGTTTAATATAACGTCACGCTGCACGACATGTCTGGCTATGAGAAGAGACCATACCTCATATTAGACTTATTTTCAGTTCAATATCATAACGTAGATTTTGGACATTCATGTTCATCATTGCTATCATGCGTGCATAAAATTGGGAACACTGCATGTCTTTCTCTGTTATAAACGTATATTCGTACCAAATTTCATTATAATTTGTCCCTTAATTTTCAGAAGTTTAACATAATATGCAAGTTTTCTTAATTTTTACAGACGAATGTGTTGCTACTTATTAGTTTTCATGAAACACTAATTTTCAGAATTGCATAACATGACAGTTGTACTGAATGATAACTTTAATTTCTGAATTTAATACAGTAAAACTTCTCATAGCAGTTACATACCTAATGTTACCGCTTCCGAAAATAACTAGCATTTGTGAGAAAATAATTAAATAACTGAATAGAGCAGAAGTTTTCAACATGAAAACCTCTCACAGTTTCAGGAAGGGGGATGCGGAAAGCCTTTTGATTCCCTGTTAAGCATTTAGTTCTACTATACTACTTTTATTTCTACAAACTAAAATGTTTTTATTCTAATTTGGATATTTATCAACATTTGATGCATTTTTCCTGTTTGATTTGCAAAACTCATTAAAAAGTAGTCTAAATTTATATAAACGTAAATGTATTTGTCGAGTTTGGGAAAGAAGAGGGTGAAAATGGTCGTTTAACAGCAGTGAAAAGCGTGCATGGGGCAAAAAGGCTGAGAGCCCCTGCTGTAGAATATTTCCAAAAAGTATTGTTCTGTCAGAGCCCACCCCCCGCCTTTGCAAAAATCAAAATTGTCGACAACGTAATTATTGGTCTTATGCTTTTTACCAGGGTGCTTTTTTACAATGAGCCATGAAGAATTTGCAGTACAATGAAATGCCTCCAGAAAAAGTGACATACCTATATGTTCGATAGCATTTATTATGAAACATTTTTGAGTACACAATTTATTTTAATGAGAATGACTCAAAATTTCACTTTTAATAATAACTTATATTGTATGAATAGTGATCACTAATCACCAGATTCCATATCTGGTAGTATGCCTTCAATAATCTTTTTAACCTCAGGCTTCTTTAACTCCTTATTTACTGCATCCATCAAAGCAGTGTTCATCATTCTTAAAATATCTGGTTTAAAGTTGTCAAAGACACTTTTGCCAACTGCTGGAAGCATTCTTTGCAAAACTTCTGCAAATTTTCCTCCTCCAAGAAAATTTTCCAAGAATATATCCAATTTCTTCCAGGTCAAATCCAATTCCAGTTTTTGCATCAGCAAAGTTTTATTAACAAACTTGAGTTGTCCTACTCCACCTATTTCAGCCACAGTTAGATTTATCTTAAAATTTCCATCGCCTCGGAGTGGAAATATTTTCAAGAGCTTTCCGTCCAGATAGTACTTTCCCCATGAACTCACTTGAGGAAGTGTAAGATTCACTTCTAAAAAGAAGCTTTCGAGATCTGGATATATATGAGGAACTTGAAACGTAGATAAGTCTGTCACGGTTATCTGAAAACAAATAAAAGTTGAAATTGGTTTATGAACAAATTTCATGAATAATAGTATATTTCTCTGGACTTGAGGAGATTTACCAATATTTATGATTTTTCACCAATATGTGTTATAAAATTTCGTTTTATTGGACAATGATTCGATTACATTTCAAGAAAATGAGAAGAAATATATTAGATTTCAGTAAATTAAAATAAGGTAATTATAAAACTGGAAAATTCATGAAATTTTTTATGAAAATATTTAAATTTCAGCTTATGTATGCCTTCTCTATTGTCAAAACAATAATCGAAAGCTTCTTTTTATATTTCAGAAATTACTAGGTATTGACTACTTCCTTTATCTCATATTTTTATATTGATATTTATTTGCATGTGCATAAGAATATAGGAATTAATTACTGAACGGCTCCTTTATATAGCCACTTGTTCACAACGCACATTCTTTTATATTGAAGAACAAAATGGATTTTAACTTCTAATTTCATTCTATTATTCCGATTTATAATTTATTTCATATTATTTGAAAATAATGATTTTACGATCTGTTATATTATTTCAACTTTTTTCCTTTTATTTGAAACTGAGGACAAAAGTAACTAGTAAGAATACGAGAACTACTGTTGTAATTTTTTTATCATTCATATCAAAGGGTAAGGCAGAAATAACCTTCTCTAATAACATGACTCGTTTACGCATTTTTGTGATTCCTACGCACATTTTAATAATTTTTGCTCTCCATAACGCATAAGCTTCGTCTTTGTTTGTAAATTATTAATAGTTTTGAAAATGTGCAGCTTTAATATAGTTTGAATCATGCATATTGAGAAGGGGTTAGGATTCAAAATAATGGGTATCAGCAAAGAAAGCCACAAAATTATTTATGAAACAGAGGAAATGTTGAAGTACTTTCATTTACATTCATACAAGTAAGAGAGGGGGAAGATACATCCAAGTAGGGAGGCATGAACATTTTCAGTTCGACATGGTCTTCATCTCGATCAAAGAGCTGGCAGCATGCATGTTTTCCTAGTTCTCTTCATGTGCAATGTGAATGCCAGGAATTTCTCTTAGAATGACCATCCCGAAGGCATATTACTACCTTATTCAAATAGTTTAGGCATGCTCTCCGCAATCGAATAAAAACAAATAAACCGCAAAAAGTTAGCCTTTAAGAAACAAATTCACATTAATTTAAAATTCTGCCAAAAAAATGCAATCTTAGTTTGGAATAGGTTTTTGAATAAAACTTTTATCAATTTTGAGGACAAAAGAAGCAGTTCCTTCTTCTTCAGAAGTAAAATGGGAGGAGCAGTAACCGTTTTTATACTGAAAGCAATCTTTTGAGGAAACTAGTAACGATACCTGAAAAAAAACTAAGATTTCAGAACTCTGGAAAGTGGTCGGATAGATTGGTTTGGAACTAATGTCATTGACTGAAGAAAATTAATTTTTGTGGAAATGGAAAGCTTCAAGAAAATGCATTTCACCAAATAAAGAAGCTTTAGGGATAATCTTTCAAAACTAAAGTTGAAATTGTGATTAACGTGTCCAACTGCAATTAGCTATCGAGGATCACGTTTGACGATAAACATTTACAAGATATGTTATAAATTCTACAAGAATTAAAGCCGGAGATGGGATCTCAAAGAATCGAACACAGACTTTTACTGACACATGAGAAAATTACTTGAATGTTGAAATACTGGACAATCTGAGCGATTTTTGAACTGAAAGAAGGATGGAATGGAATAACGGTAAGATTATTACGGTTATTTCTAATAGCGGAATGCCTTTTTGATGACGAAACGAAAAATTTTTCATAGGCCTTTATCAATAACTGAAGGGAAAAAAATCCTCTGTCAAGAGCAGCGAGTTGCTATTGTATCTGTTACTAATGACAGAGGATTCTTTGATTGAAATTTTCTTCCACAGTCGCTGATAATGCCTGATTACACTTGTTGGTAATGCCTTTAAAACATTTTTCTGTAGCCATTAAAAGAGCACATTAAAAATAGTCATTATAATCTTGCCATTACACGATTTCATTCTTCTATCAGTTATAAAATGGCTAGAATTCTTCAAGAGTTCAACTTTCATGTCAGCTTTCTAGTATATTACTAAAATTCGACGTTTCACTTTAAAGATTCCATCTCTGATTTTAATTCTTGTGAAATTTACGCCATATCTTATATATGTGGTATGTCATACGTCAGCCAGACTAAACGAGTTTTAAAATTTCGGGTCAACGTACAGGAATTTTACATTCGAAACGGAGAAATAAACAAATCTTCTAAAGTTAGTCATAGTCGGACACGTAATCACTGTTTTGACTTTGGTTTTGCAAAAATTATCCGTAAAGCTTCTTTAGCTCGAAGATGGATTTCTTTGAAATTTTTCAAATTAAAACATATCTTCTTTAATTAATGACATAAATTTTAATCCAGTCCTTCTGAAAGCTTTTAGAATTGTAAGTTTTTTATTCCTTACTATTTTCTTTGACATATAATGCTACTTTACTGTTTGCTTTACTTCTTCATTGCCTTCGATATTAAAATTTTTGTGACTTCTATCTCGCGAAACATTTTTTTCTTCCAAGGAAGAGGGAGCTGTGCCTCATAGCTCTCGAAATCGATAGCGTTTTATTCAAAATTTGAGGTTCAAAAATAAAATGCTTTTTATAGCAGTAAATTGTTTAGATCAAAGATAACAGTGTCTTGAACTGAATCTGTGCAGGTCGGTTTGAGCGACTAAATAAGCCATTCTTTCTTTGGCTAAAAATGTACTAAAGTTGTAAGGGACCGTGATAAAATATTCTAAATCATCCAGCTCACGTTAAAAGCAAAAAATGAAGGCATTGTTTACAAAACGATTTCTACCAGTGATGTGGGGGCCTCTCTGTTGATCTTTCTTAAACATCCATACATTGTGATACTAAAACAAATCTTTTGGATCAGATTTAATGAAAATTGAGACAAATTATTGACTATCCCATTACCATAATTGCTAAGTGAGCACTGCACCGCTGCAAGAAGATGCCTTTGTCCACCGATTTATATAAAACCTTCAGAGTTTCCACCATGAAATTGGCCCACCAGCGGCCGAGCGGTAAAGTCGCTGAACACTGGTAGTTCGGTCCGAGGTTCGAATCCCGCGAACGGGCTGGCTGCATGGGTGTTTTTGTGGTTTTCCCCATGTGTAACGTGTATACGAGCCAGTTCCCCTTAAAAAGTCCTCCACGAAGGCGTCCCTCCTCTTAGGCAGATAGCCCTAGTGTGCTTTGCCATAATTAAAATACACTTCACACTACACCACCATGAAATTGATTTAATATGTAAATATGTCTACTAACTAAGGGAAGGCAACGAGTTATAGAAACTATTGTATGGCATCAACACTTGAATTTGGAGATAGGGGAACAAGGAAAACTTCATTGAGTTCGATAAAATATCTCACTATAGCGCTGGAATTAAAAAATTAACTAATATACGACTGTACAATTTAATGTGTATAATTTACTTAAAAATTTGGATCTTCTTTTACAGTCGGGGATGATCAAATTAATCCGACCTTCCAAAGAGATCTGACGGGGATCAGAATGCACAAAATAATCAATGACGTACTATATTTCAGTTTGCTGAAAATGTTGAAACTAACTGTTACGTGAGATGTTTGCTTCAGGTAAAAATAAATTTAAATGTTTTTAAGTCAAGATTCCTGGTTGCAATATGGGTTGTACTTGGTATTACTTCCAGCTCTAATTTCATGGAATCAGCGGAAGTTTCAGGAAATTCCAAGCATAGCTGAATTTTTCCTTTTTCGTCTTCTCTCAACTTGAGTATCTGTTATTGCCTCCCTCCAAACCTAGCTGTCATAAACCGATTTGTATATGCTATGTATATACTGCCAGCCATTAAAACTCTAGCACCAGTAAGGCCATTAAGATTTCAGGTATGTTGGAAAACTAAATGAACTCCAAATCTGGCCACCATGAATTAGAATAATTCTTGCTCTATCGTTGCCAGAATTCATTTGCTACAGCCGCTGATAATCTGTACTGTGCAGAGTATGTGACTTCATAATCCAGATGTATTAAATAGAAAAAAATCCGATGCACGTACCGGGCAAGGCGAAACCTTAAACTTTATGTATCAAGGAAACGTTTGACTTTGTTCGATGAGTTTTCTCGCATTGTACTATTAGAAGGTAGTTCTATAGTACTTCTTAATTGGATAAAATTCTAAGCCTTAATACACTAAAAATGCAACGCTGGTTGATTAATTTGCCGGACATGCGTATGCGACCCGATCAACGGCCGTATTCAGTCGCAATTATGATGATTAATAAGGCAAGATTCCAACAAGCAGCTCCCGGAAGCGCCGTACGCGCATCCTTCATTGTGATATTACATGATAATGATGGACTTGTCTAACAAGGCTATGCCATATCATTCAGGCTTCTATGCACATTGTTGAAAGCTTCGCTATAGCAGCAGAAGCCTGTGCTGTACCATTAAAGTACAAAAACAATTTTCACAATGAGGAAATTCTGTGGGATCCTCAAGACGAAATCTTATCATGCATAGAGACACTTCTTGTCGTCATATAACGTATGGTGCTAGTTTCCTTGATGTCGTTCTACGTTCCACATAGGTGTTAATCACACAAGATGCTTGTCCTCTCAGGCACTGGGACATCAAGGTCCATCTAAGTGTGAATGTGCGTGTCGCTTCTTCCTTCCTTCCTAGACCAATTAATTCCGTATTCATATGATAGTCTGAGGACTTCAATTAACATGTGCAGCAGCTTTTCGGTGTAACAATCTTCAACTAAAGCACTCTATTATTCTCTCATAATCAAACTAGGGCACATGCTGCTGTACATTCCATCTTCTCGTTCGTGCTTACGCTACACTTTTAGTCAAACTGCGGCATTATGTTCAAGTTCCACTAATTATTTTTATTTAATTTACATCTTTTCTTTTGCTTCATTTCGCCACGAGGTTTGCTCATTCCAAAATTTATGTAGATTTCAGTAGCGAGCAGTTCTATTGGAAAGTTAGGAAAAGAGCTCGTAACTCGTATGAGAGGTTTGGCGTTAACGCTGCCTGCTTGTCACGGAAATGCTCTCCTGACGAGTAACCGTTGTTTCCCGTCAGACTCAGAGTCGTATGATAGATTTTGCTTGGTAAGTTTACAAATTCTGAGTAACTGTAGCCTCTGGTTAGCATGAATCAGACATTGTAATTAGAAACAGTGTAGCAAGAGTTTCCAGCCAAGTCAAGGTGCCTGATATTTCTGTGTTGTATCACTTTCGTTTAACCCTCATAAGTAGTCTGATAGAATAAATTTTTAATTTAGGGAGGATTTATTCAATTTATTTAACAATTAATTTATGTTTAAGCAGCCTTTACTATCGCCCTTGCTTTCAACTCAGACTTTCTTGACAGAATGTAAGTGATTTAGCACGCATGTTCAAATGAAGTAGAAAGGGAAGGTTATGGAAGTAGAAATCAGACCACGTTGTTATCGTTCTTTACCAGGGATTAGATTTCTGTGGCGTTGAGCGCTTCTTGCCATTAGGCTTGTTTGCGTCGACTTTCAACTTGGCCATAATTGGGCAATTGGGCCGTAATTAACCTGTGAAGCCGTTAGGCTAACTTAATTTAATTTTAAGTTATTACTTATCTTTTGAGTTAAGCCAAAAGTGTTGGCTTTTGTAAGTAAGAATTGGTGCCATCTGTGAACTTTCATTTCAATCAATTAAGGTTCTTTATACCCTTCTTATGACTTTGCCCTACTTCAAGGCTTAGGGATAATTTCCTAAACAGTCTTCTAACGTCGAACTTATTTTAGGATAACAAACCACAAAGCACGTTATAGTTCATTTGTGTCTGTTTGTATGAAGAAGATGAATAATTCTAGTGTTGAAAATTAACCCACAGAATACGCGTAGTACTAGTTAGACTCACAAAGTAAGCTAGCTGAGTTAAGCTCCAGCTAAGTATTACAAAACAAGCAATGAGGAAACAACGATAACATTAAGGAAAATTGCTCTTTTCCGTATTGTTATTAGCTTTGTTCTAGGTGGCGCTGTAGGTGTCCTTTATTTTCCTGTGCTCTACATTGCTAATCATTTTCCTGCTCTACCTGTTAGAAAAATTACATGTTGATCGGCTGCTTCCTTCATGATATAGCAGTTTTAAAGGCCAGCAGTGTACGAGCGAGTTTCAAAACGCTACAGCATGGTTAACAAGTATGGCACCAGAGCATTCTTCATAATTTAGATTCAAGAATCAGCCCCAGAAGCTATGGGTGGTATTCTAAAAATATCATATAGTGCAACACTGAAAATTAATGGTGTGACGACAGATCTTGGGCAGCACGTATATAAAACAACTTCGATACCAGAGAATTAATTATTTACTCTGACTTCAATATAGAACTGACTAAACAATTTCTCATTCATCTACGGACTTCCTCTCTCATTACAATCTTCAAACTCTGATATAAAACTTGCTTTGCATTTTATTAAAAGCATACTTAGAGTCTACGAAAGTTGCGACTGAAATCCATTATAAATAAAACCTTCGTAAATATAAATAATAAAACATAAAAGAGCACTGGTGGTACTTCTTCGCGGAAGAAATCCAAACTTTCCGCAGTGTATCAAGTTAAAATTTACCAGTGTCTAGCTTAGACTAAACTTTTTTTATCTTTAAAATAATTTCCCAGAGGAAGCGATGATAAAAATGGGTTTGCTAGTTCTGACAGTTTCTATCATCTTTATTTGCATTTAAAGAGAGATGATTGTCGTCTGCTTCCATTAGTTAGTTACGAAACCATAGTCACCGATAATCATTAAAAATATTCAAAATTTCTGAAACAAAATTGCTTTTTCAAGCAGATGCTTTTGCCATTAAGCTTCTTCCATTATAATTTTTACTTGATTAACATTGGTAATTTCTTGAGTGACTTCCACGAAAATTTAAAAAAAAAAAAAAAAAAACCTTGTAATAGATTCCTTCATATGGTGTCACTTCAGACAACGAAAGGGCACACACATAGAAACTGCCTGGTGTCACGAGAAGGTCCACTATTTCCACAGATAATAGAAATCTTCCTTTAGTAAAAACCAAAATTAATACTATTAGCTCTGCTTTTATAACATATCATGAACTGAATTTTTATATTTAAACTTCGGAAGAAACAACGTGACCATCTTTATGAGACTTAGCACTAGATGTCTGAAGTAAGTGGCTTTTGTGGATGGTATCGAAATTTTCCTACAGTACACAAAAAGTGAAAGCACCCCAGATTCTCCACAGCATATACTGCGGTGCACAGGCACCAAATTCTAAATATCTGCTTCAAACGTACCCCAAATGCTCTTAAGTTAACTCTGTACAGATGTTACAGTGTACCACCTACGCAATGGGATAAATACTACCATACTAAGCAAATTAAGGGACTAAAACATTTTTTAAAGTATAATATCCCATGGAGAGGAATTATATAGCTCAGAAAAAGTTATTATTATCCCCAAAAACAAAGTGAGGCATTTGTTATAATCATGGATGTCAAAGGAATTTTGCAGTTTGCCCTGAAATTCCTTTCTGATATGTTTGAGGTATAGTTGCTAGACTAGATTTTAGGAGACCTCATTTATATGCAAATTTGTTTTATCTGTTAACTTACGTATTTGTCCAACTGAATCAGGAATATAACTAATTTTAAAATTAAATTATCCCTTATTGACATAAAGGTTTTCATAAGAAGCAGTGCTATAAGTGAAAAAAATTATCAATGAATGCCAGTTATTCTTTTTGCACCAGTTATTCTGTTTGCCACTGTTCTTTTTGCCACCAGTTATTTGTCACTATCCACTATTGCACATCAGAGTATATTCTTATATTTTAATAATAAAAAATAAAACTTTACGCAAATTTTTACAATTTTCATGAAATTAAAATTTGAATTTTAAAAATAATATTTTTTATTGTAACATTTCAAATTCGATCATGAATTATTTCTTAAAACAGAATAATTATACTACAGAAAAATTTAGACTCTAAATTGGCGTTCATTTCACGTTTTGTGAACTACAATATTTAAATCAGTAGTAAACCTTGAATCCTTTCAGATGAACATGCGTTGATTTCAAAACGTATGAAACTTGATAAAGAATATAATGAAATTATTACTAACATTAATATTTACATCAACCCTCTGATTAAATTTAGATTGGAGAAAGATATGGTACAAAGAAATATTTCTATATTGAATAACTGAAAAATAGTACCTGATTAATGATACCTTTTAATGATTGTAAATAATATATTAATCAGGGTTGGAACATTTTACAAGGAAGAATAATATTCACATATTATGCGACGTTTGTCTTAAAGATGCTTGACTTCACTTTTCTGAAACTTTACTCAAACAATGAAATATCTTGAACTGAATTAATTATAGTACTTAGTACGGTGTAATGTTCTGCACTGTTCTTTGTAACTTACCTATTGAATAGCCTGTTCCATTATATTAAGGATAAATAGCTGTATCCGTAATACTTAAGGAAGTTTATATACTTTTGTCCTCTGGCCAGAGTTTGTCTTGTATGTATGAGTCATGATTATAGAAGGCTTGAAAATTCTAACTTCTCGACAATGACTCGACGGTTCTAATAGATGGTAGATTTGTTTTCAACTGAATCAGTAATCATCGTATATCTGTTTATCAGGATGATTTACTGCTTTCGCATCAAGCTTTCGTATCTTGCTTAATTGCATACTTCCTCTATCCATCAGTACATCAATATAGTATACTGTAAAGAAAAAACTGTTAACATTTCCCATTATGTGCATACTACAGTTCTCTCTGCATTGAACAGTTCTCTCTGCACTGCATTTTTCTATGAATTTCAGAGGATTTTAATGTTTTTTACTCCCCAAAAAAAGGAAATTATTTCTTTCATTATGCGATATTTACATTCAATGGATACATACATGGAACGCAAGCAGTTTGCAAATAGCGCAATATATTCTACGTCGTTAATATTTTTCGAGATACTGAATCTGGGTGCAAAGGTGGTTTTTAAAATCATACTTAAACGCTCTTAATTATGGACAGCGGAGAAATTTTTTTTATTTCGTTGCTTACGCTAAGTCATATGTACTTTACTTTTCAATTTTATGCTCTGAAAGAACAATTTAAATTTAGAATAGGCACATGTTAAAAATATAACAAGCGTAATCAATACACATGCTAACTTAACCTATGTTTTCAGCAAGTAACTGCTGAATTTACAGTGTCGAATAGAATTGCTTTAAGAGAATGTACTGCATAACATTATTATTTCTTACCTCCTTAATTTTTAATGTCATAGTTGCGAGATTTTCATGGACGTTTATGTCTAGATTTTGCAAATGCAGGGGATCTAGAACCGGCATATTGATAGATGGAATCCCGGATTTCATCTGCTCTCGAAAGTTTTCAAGTGCTTCTCTCAAATATTTTTCCAAATCCGGATCTGGTTGTACGTGTAGGCTGTTTTCTGCAGATGATACAAAAAATATTGATTGTAATGATTTCAAGTCTTAGTTCAAAATAAAAAAAGAAAGAAACGAAAAGAAAATCTTTTAATGATAATTTATTTTCATGGATTCCTGCTACCAACTAATCCCCTTGGGCTCATTTTGTACAATGCATAAAATTAAAGGAAATTTAGAAATTCACTTTTACTTGTTAAGTACTAAAAAAATTCTTCATTTCTATAGAAATTTTATCACAGACATATCATATTACTTACGTATCGGAGATTTTGACAGTAAAAATTTATATAGGACATGCATGCGTGACTACAAATAAACTGTGATACTTTCATTATCTTGGACATCAATAGTTTGTTAATTATATTATCATCCTGAACCCGTTATGCAGGTAATATATTTACACAGAATAACTTATATCTCGAATTTAGCCAGTTAGGATTAAAACCAAATTTTCTAGGCTCGTAAATATGAATTCCTGGAGCAGATGGGTTGGCTAAATCTTGACATCCTGAAGACATTACGAACATATTCAAAAGTACTGGGATCTGGAAATGTTGGAGCTACAGACCATTGTAAAGTTTTGCTTCGATTACAGAACTTTACCAGTGTACCTGTGGCCAGTTGCAGAATTTCTTTTGTAAAATCTATAGACCATTGAGGCTATCTATCATAATTTATTCTCAGATAAGTAAACTGTTGCCGTGACAACTGAGCCTTTCACAGGCATTCTGTGCATTTATTTCATGCATTTATTTTAAAATGTTTCGATATTTTTTTTTCTTCTGAATAAGAGACTTTGTAAGTGTCCTTGGAATCGGCATACTTTTATATAAATGTACGTAAATTTAGGTTTTTTTTTTTTTTTTTTTTTTTTTTTTTTTTTTTTTTTTTTTTTTTTTTTTTTGTTTGTTGTTGCTAATTTCATACATTTTACATAACGTGCATTTCTTCCATACACTGTGATGTTCTGTGAAATGATTTAACCTCTGAAGGCATTCAGCAGCACCTATTACCAGTCATTCGTCCCAACTGACATTCGTTTTAATGACATTCCTGAGCTATAATACACAATATTCTCCTTTATGTAACTTTGCTTTTACGAAAGATTCATGGTCTTCTCAGACCTAGGGAAGCGAAACCAACAAGGAAGTTTCGAGAAATGCGTTGCTTCCGGAACTAATTCAAACGGCATGTTCCTCCCCGCAATTGCTTTCAACGATCTATTTTGCTCACTTACTCACAATATTTTATAATGTGCTGAAGAAAAGATTGTACAGGAAGCCCTGTTTCGTCTAAGTCAATAATCAGAGGAAGCTTCTGTGTCTGTATAATTATACTCTTAGAAAGTCTTCCGTAATACTCCTGGAAGGAATGTGGTTCTTGGAAAAGTTTTTACCGCGTTTCGCATCCTTAGATCTGATAAGGTTTTTACACTAGTGCATTTTTAATAAATGGAAGAAATCCGACCACGATTATACATGTTACCTTAAGAGATCGTATCAAAATTACGAACATTAAGGTTTGATTGACATAGAACTTGCAGATTTAGGGAAGTTTTGAAGCATTTTTTCAACTACTTAGGACAAACTGTGAGATGGCGAAAATGCGTTTGGTGTTAGTTGTGAATAGTATTTGGTGTGCTGTGAATAGTTTGGAACAGCATTCTAAACTACTCACATGCACAGAGGAGAGTATTAACGTGGGTTTCCTCTTTTGGAATACGCAGATACAGGAATTCAGACGCAATGAAGATAAGATATTAATCAATGATTTTTCATTTTTCTCCTTATGTCCTAGTCTCCTTTATCCTTCCCAGTCTGAATATCCGACGACTACATTTAATGCATTCGAAGAATCACACTGCGCTTCCTAGTTTTAGAAAATGCGCTACATTGTCCATGGAATTAAATTATACATATTTATACTATATATATTAAATAGGTTGTATATTTAACATAACATTCTTCCGTTTCGTTTCATTTAGATTTTAAATTTATTTGGTATTCTCAGAAGCTTTCCTAGAGACCTGGAAACACTCTATTTTTTTAATAATATATGCTTGCTTTTTCGTTTTACGCCATTTCAGTTTATGAAAGCTTTCAATAAACACTATGTTCACGCAAAGGGGAAAAATTGTATTTGGCAGTATGTAAATCTTTACTAATTCATAAACTTACATAGAGCGAGACTATATATTAGTAGGGTTTTGTAACTTACTCATTTTTTATTTATTTGCATAATTTACAAGCTAATAGAAGCGCAGGTATATATTTTCTCTTGGGGTACTGCCTTATAATAAATAATACGTGTGCGCATGAACTTGTATACTTAAATAGTGTAGAGGCTTACTTTGACTGAGAGAGGCTTACTTTGACTGAGTTTTTCATCCAAAACTATGCTTGAATTAGCATTTCTTAAATTTTCCTTTAACTTTGTGCACCAAGATATATTCAAATAATTCTTCAGAAGAAATGAATATATATTCATTGACACGTGAAATAAATTTTTAATGAGCTATCCGTGAATTTTTCTCATATTTTGCAATCTTAATCTTCTTATGTTTTGCTGATTTTACTTGATTTTTATATATTACTAGATGTCCAAATAATTTTTTTTTTCCATAAAAAGTGAGATTTCATTTCAAGTGCTTTATTGTTTGCTAATAAAATTGATTAGTTCTGAGGAGGGACTTTTGGAATATTTAATGCAGCTTCAAAATTTCAACTTTGGCAGTTAATCAGAATTTTATATTAGTTATATCACTTTTATTACTTAATATCATAAATTGATTTCTTGATACTTATTTAATTTTCGACTTCATAACCAAGCAAGTGCTGAAGGGTTCGTAAAGGAGGAGATAGGTATTTTTAATTGTTTTAAGTTAAATGGTTCTGCATTACAATTTTATAAAATATTTGATGTAACTAATGTAATCTACTGTTAATCATGAAATATTTAATAAAACTAACGAAATCCGCTATCATTCAGAGCGCTTTTATTATTTAGTACTATACTAATGCTTTGAGAGCCACCCAGTTCTTGCTTCATGAAGTTAAAAGGCCATTGCAATATCAGAAATCAACTTAAATGTTTGCTAGCTTACTATTAGGAAGTCTAGAGCAAAAGAAAATGTGATAGCTATTAAACAAACACTACGAAGCTAAAGCATTTTAATACTAATAAATGATCATTTTTATAATTATTCAATTCTTTCTACTCTGCAATACACGCATTTTTTCATTCTTACAGAATTTGAAATCTGTAGTTAAAACTTACATAGCGGCTTAGTAAAATTAAAAAAAAAAAAAAAAAAGTTTAATATTTTCCGTGCTTAGTTTGCACATTAGTCTGGTAAAATATTTTATCAATGATTTTCATGCATAGGCTTTGGGGTTAATTGTTATTTAATTATACTCTATTTTATCTAATTTTCGAATATCGTAATAATTTAATACTAGGTATCACTGATAAAAAGTCAGTAACTCAAGTAAACTCACGCCACTCAAAGGTGATACTGCGTATTTAAGACAATACCTAGAAAGCAAAGATAACTTTAAATTAGTAAGTATTCAGGAACCTTACTGAATACTTGCTAATTTAAGGAACTTTATTGAATACTTGCTAATTTCAGGAACCTTACTGAATACTTGCTGTGTGATCTCATTTGATGTATCATCGGCATTTAACCTTCTCTGACGGCCGGCCTTACTCCAACAGCTAATTTATCTAAAATGTCCAAAACACACTTCCAACCTTATCAAAAGTTACCTCAACAATAAGAAAGTAATTTATGAAAGAGATGAAGGGAATAATTATAACAAAGGAGCACTGCAGGGCTCATTCGTAAGTCTTATTCTATGGAACAACGCCTATCGCCAACACGGATTTAAGCATAGTGTTTGAAGACAACGCTCAGATTCAAGCACATGCAGATGATTTAATCCTAATCATAAGTAGAGGCGATAAGACGACCATAGAGCGAAAACCCCACAATGCCCGAGATAAAAATACAGCAGGGAGTGAAAAAATGTAAACTAAAATTTAGCGCAGAGAAGACCAAAATGATAGTCTTTCCAAAAGGTAACAAATTGGTAAAAACCCTCCAAGAACCAAATGGCAAGATATATCACTCCGATGCCAGGGCACATTTAAATACCTCGCTTTCCTGCTGAAAAAAATTCACATGGGAGCCGCATATTGCAGAAATCAAGATTAAAATTAGTACAATTTTAAACCGTTTAAACAGGATTAAAAGGATGCCTACTGAAATAACTTTACCTTCGAGGGATGGAAAGTGTGATTTTATATGATTTTCCAATTTTGATGAAGAATATAGTTCGAATTAATCAAAACCTTCTACAGATCCGGAGAACCGTCCTCTTGAAAATAACAAAATCGTTCTACACCACATACGCAGGAAGCGTACAAAGTCTCGCAGGAGTAATCTCGCTCGACCTTAAGGCTCTAGCGGATAAGAACCTATTTAGAATCACTCGTTATCAAGACGAAGTCAAAATAAATGGGGACATCATAATTCCTAATCATTGCTTAAAACCAAGGCATATAACATCCAGCCGCAGCTCAGGATTTCCCTTGGCATAGATGCCTACAGAGCGAGCAAGGTCTAGAACTTTTCACAGATGATTTGAAGATCATCGAGAAGGTAGGAGTAGTCTTTGTCATCTTTCATTACAGCAGATATTATTTCGAAGTACTTCCGGTTGATTGACACAGCTTTTGTATTTCAAACAGAATCCTCAGCAATCAGACGGGTGGCTCTTTGGGCTAGACAGTCAAACTTTTCCAATATCTCGATCATCTTGGCCAGCATGAGTGTTCTGAAAAGTCTTAACAAGAAAGGCAACAACATCTTTGCGCTCAAGAACATCCTTTCCACATGGAACCCGGGCATCACACTCTCACTTGATTAGGGAGCACGCCAAGGCACAAAGGGTAACGAACTTGTAGATAGCCTTGCTAAAATAAGGCGGCTAAAATAAGC